TGGCCTCAGATTCTCTCACTTTGGCCTCCTCAAGTGCTTGGACTGCAGGTGTGAGCACACCTGGCCTCTTCATGTTTCTTGAGTTTGGGTTTTATTGAGCTGTATGCTAACAAGTTTCAATCATTATTCCTTCAACATTTTTTTTCTGTTTTGTCTCCCTTTTCAGGACTCAAGTATGCAAATATTGCGCTGCCTGAAGTTGTGCCACACCTTGCTGATACTCTGTTGATTTTTTTCTGATTCATTTTTCTTTACATGTTTCATTTTGGATAATCCATATTGCTATGTCTTCAAGCTCACTAATCTTTTCTTCTGTTTGGATTTCTTTGTCTGCTAATTCTTATATCCATGTCATATCTTGGTTTCATTTTCCAACTTCTCTGCATACGGGATACATTTTGACTGAATATCAGACATGACACATTTTACTGCTGAGTCCCAGGTAATTTTGTATGCCTAAAGGTATCTTTAAGCTATGATCTTGGATGCTTTTAAGTTACCTGGAGACGGCTTAATACTGTCAGGTCTTGTTTTCAAGATCAGAAAAACACAACTAAAGCCATTTAAGGCTGTTTCCCGCTATTGACTATTCTGCAAACTCTACCCAATGTCCTGTAAACCACAAGGTTTTCTAGTCTCGCAGGAAGCAAGGGCACACAATCTTGGCCTTCAGTGAGTGTAAGTACTGTTCCCTCAAATCTGTCCAGGTGGCTCTTTCCTGGCCTGGGCAGCTTCCTCACACACACTTGCTGATATCTGAGGGGACCTTCCTCGCATCTCTGGTTCTTTTTGTAGCTCTTTCCCAGTACTTTCCCTGCATACTCTTGCCATGTTAGTGCCTCTTGCCTGTTAGTTCCATCTCCTCAAATCAACGAGTATGTCAAAAACTGCTTGTGATCCCCTTTCCTTAACTATCGCCTGGAAACTCTGTCAAGACACTAAGCTGCTGCAAACACAGGGCACATTTTACTTCCTGTCTCTCAGGAATCACTGTCCATCACTGCATGGCAGTCACTATTTGACAACTACTATTTCATGTATTTTGTCCAGTTTTGGGTTGTTTCAAGCAGGAGGGCAAATACAGTCTCTGCTACTCCACCTTGGCCAGGAGTCGGATTCCTCAATCCTTGATTTTAATTCACTCTAGAAATATTGACTGAGTACCTATTATGTGTCAGGTGCCTCTGGGCTAGTTGATGGTAACAGGGCACTAGGCAGTCTTATCTCTCAAGGTCCTTAGATTCTAATGGGAAACAAAAATAAAATAAATAGACCTGACTCTGAGACGCTTCCTCAAACGCAGCTTTGTCATTGCTTTCCTTGCTCATTCATTTACTCACCAAGTTCATCTACTTTTAAGAATTTCACTACCATTTCTACGTTGATGACTTCCAATTCTACATCTCCACTTCTTACCTCTTCCTATAAGCTTTCCTATAAACTCCAGTCTTGGTTTTACCCACTGTTCATGTTAGCCATATGAACCTGAAATTAGGTTCTTTTTTGAGACAGTGTCTCACTCTATCAAGCAGGCTGGAGTGCAGTGGTATGGTCACGGCTCATTGCAGCCTCACCCTTTTAGGCTCAAGTGATCTCCCACCTCAGCCTCCTGAGGACTAGAGGCACATACCACCATGCCCTACTAATTTTGTGTGTGTGTGTGTGTGTGTGTGTGTGTGTGTGTACGTGCGCACACGCAGAGAGACAAGGCCTCATTATGTTGCCCAGGTTGGTGGCTAGGTTCTTTTTGTGTCCCCCTATATATAAATAGTAAAAGTCTGGTGGATTCTATCACCTAAATGATTTCCAAATCCATCTTCTCTTCTTCATTCTATATAATCCAATTAATTATATATGTAACAATACATAACCCTATATATATATAAAACAATACAAAACCCTATTATGTTCTATGTACTCTATACCTTCTGTTGTAATCCCTTCCAGTCTATCCTGTATAATGCAGGATAAGTGATCTTTCTAAAGAAAAACCTCACTCTATCATTCCTCTGTTTAAAATCTTGATGACGACTGATTTTAGAATAAAATCCAAACTCCTTATCATGAATTACAAAGCAATTAAAGACACAGCCCCCGCCTATCTCAAACTTCAGCTCTGTGATTTTTCTTTATTCTTATCCTATGTTCTGAGCACTCTTAAAACACTTGTTAACTCCCCAAACGTACCACACTTTCACCTCAAAATCTTTCTGTATATAAAATAACCCTACCTCCTTTCTTTCCTTGATTTCTTTAGGCTTGTTTAAGAATCAGCTCAGATATCTCCTCTTCCAGGAAATCTTTCTGAATTCCCTAGTCTGTTTCAGGTATACACTTTATTGGTACTCCTTGGCCATATATAGTCATAAATAAATACAACTCAATCTAACTTACTCAAAAAAGTTAATTATAAAAAAATGTATTTTACAGGTCCAATAAGAGGAGCAGGTAAGTCTACAGAGTCACAATGAGGGACTCACATGCCATCAGCTTTTTCTCTCCACACCGTCTCCTCTCCTGGTCTACATGTCTTGAATCCTCCTTATGCATTGTATTCATTTGTGTGTCTCTTTGTGTGTCTGCTACATTTGTATCCTTCTCTCTACAGATTTTGCTTTTCCACTATTCCAGTCCATGTAATGGAAAAGCAGGAACTGTCAGCTCCTGAAATTTCTACTTGATGTAATACAGAGACCTAAAGAGAGACTTATAGGCCTTTTCCAAGTACAATTCTCAAATTTCCTGGAAAGCACAGTGATCGGTCTTGTTTAGGTCATCTGCCCACCCTGAGTCAATTGGCTGGAACCAGGGGGCAGGGTCAGGCTTTCTCATGGCTTCTCCTGCTCTTATGCAGATTAAGTGTAGAAATGTAGGCATGGCAATCACCCTATGTGGAGGCAGGGCAGATAATCCTAAAGGTGGCCACTATTACTTGCCTAGAGCCCTAAGAATAGTTGAATCACATTTTTTGTCTCTTAAATAAGAGCTCTTGGCCGGGCGCGGTGGCCCAAGCCTGTAATCCCAGCACTTTGGGAGGCCGAGGCGGGTGGATCACGAGGTCAAGAGATCGAGACCATCCTGGTCAACATGGTGAAACCCCGTCTCTACTAAAAATACAAAAAATCAG